CTCTGGCCAACTGAGCAACTGGGCAACTGAGCAACTGGGCAACTGAGCAACTGGGCAACAGGGCAACTGAGCAACTGAGCAACTGGAAACTTCGCATAGAGTTTCGGCTGCATAACTTCACATAGCATCAGTTAAATCAAAGCTAAATCGCTTATCTTTATTTTCGCCGAGCTCCAGTCGGCATATTGTTGTTGAAGTTGCTCTTGTTGTTGTTAATGTTGTTTTGTTTTTCGTTTTCTTGTTTTTTTTTTGTTGCTTTTTTTTTGTTGAGTTTGTTGTGTCTGTGCAACGTGCGAATTACTCTGTAGATTGCTCTGCATACGGTGGCATATGGGCCAGGCTGTGTGGGATGCAGTTATTGAAGGGATTGCGGGTTTAACCAAAAACGAGTTTCAATGAAATGAGTAAGCGCATAGAGTGAACAACTAGTTGAAGGCCTTTTGCAGTTTCCCTAAGTACGTTTTTAGTGTTCCAAGCAACAGCAAAATTCAAACAATTTCAAATCAAAAATCTGAAAAAGTATCTTCACAATGCCAGCCAAACAGCTCGAACAGCAGCGTGGTTCAATTCAACACAGCCAATTAACGATTCGCTCAGACTGGCAACAATTTCATTAACTGGAAAGTTCTTAAATTTGCCACAGCTGAGAAGCTTTCTTGCACAGTTGCATCTGATACACGATGCTTCTCACAAGTATCTATACCATTGACCTATATCGAGTTGTAAACCCTGCTGCTTTATAGCAATGTCAACTCCAAATGGCGTTGCCTGCTGTTATGCCAGTTACCCAGTAATCAGCTGGGGCACCTGCAACTGCAACTGCACCAGCAACAGCAAACAGCAACCAGCAACCAGCAACAATTGCAATCGGCAATTGCAGTTGGGCTTCCGCCTCATGCAGCGCACTGAAGTTCAAGCGCGTTCATAATCAGCGCATTTTGTAGATACTCGAAGTGCATGCAAGTTAAAACATTTTGCGGTTCGTGTCTGGGCCTGCAATTATGTTTTGGTTTTACTCCAGATACTTTGTCTAGCTTTTGCTGCGCTTTTGGCTTTGCCGCCGCCTCAATCTCAGTTGCCAAGTCTTCTATCTTTTGCAGAGATGGGCGCGTGTCGACGTTTGCACTACAACTCTCTCGCGTTAGCATTCAAATATTGTTATTTGAAATAATTATTAAATTTAACATATTTGTGGCAACTTGATAAGTTACATATTAGATATACAAAATCAAATATTAAAATACATATATAGAAAAATCACTCAAGTGCACATAAATAATTTGAGATAATTATTTTGATTGCTCGTGTCACGACACGCGCTCATCTCTGGTTTTGGTGTCTTGAGGCGCTGTGCTAATTACTTGAACTAGCTGCCTGCACATGTGCGCTTAACATTTAATTATTGCGACTTAATGACGGCTCTCTGCCTGTGTATTTAGGGTGTGTGTGTGAGTGTGTGTGTGTGTGTGTGTATTAATAATTAGAAAATGAGCCGACAATGGGGCGTAGTCTGGTCTCTGCTATTGACTTTGTGTTACACATCTTGTGCAACGGTGCATTGACCGAACTGCAAGAAATCGCAATTGGCCGAAAAATCAAACACAAAAAAAATATAAAAAAAATGAAAAACGAGCCAAATTGGCATATTGGCCGAGAGAGTATTGGTTAATTTTAAAGAAAGAGTTTATAGAGTGCTCAATGAGTAACTCATAGATACTGCTATGAATGCACTCATTCGCTTTGGCCCAAACTAATTTCACGCTTCAAATTGATGCGGCCAAGCGGCAAAAGTCTCTTGCGCTGTGCTGCACTTTCGTTTGTGGAGCTCATGGCCATGGTTATGCTAGGGCAGCGGGGTAAGTGGGGCGGGTGCTTCTGGGTAATTTGTATATATATATATGTGTGTGTGTGTGTGTGTGTGTGTGTGTGTGTGTGTGCGTTGATATCGTGCACACATTTCAGGAAGTTCAATTAATAGAACGAACGCTTGAGCTTAGCTGTAGTTCTTGGAACTTCTAACTGTATTGAACGCTTTATGGCGCGTAGCACACGCAAGCTCCAAGCCCCAACACTTCCCCTCCCTCCCCCCTGTTAACATTTCCCCTATTGGCTTGCAATTGAGCGCAAGCGTAATTGAAACTACCGCAAAAGTGTGCTTATGGCTAAACTGTCTCGTACTTACCAGATACATTTTGAAGCCATAGCAAGGCCATGACAACACGACTACTTTAGGGCTTCTTGGGTGGAGTAGTGGTGGTTTAGTGTGGTGGGGTGGGTTTGACTTTGACTTTGTGGTGCTCGCACCTTGTGCCTGCACTAGCTATATTGTAGCTGCATCCATCTATATCTTCATCTGAAGCTGCATCTGTATCTGCGTTTGGGCATCTTTCGCTCCACCCTTTTTCGGTTATTGATATAACATGATATGCCAATGCCAATGCTGAACTCACTAAAATGCCCCACCCTCTCGAAGCAGTTCCCCTCTCTCTGCTGGCTCATAGTTGAATGCTTCTGCCTCGTATCTTCATCAATAACGACACGGAGCAGCGCAGTTCGCATCGCCGTCGTCGGAGCTCCAGATAAAGCTGCGATAGGCGCATATGGGCAGCGATTTCCCCTGCCGCTTTGCAGCGCTCCTTTTCTTTTTCAGTTTTGAAAAGCCGTAGGTACCACGACCAGGCCTTTGCAGCTGTCCAGCTGTCCCAACTGTCCCTCAGTGCACAACAGCAACAATAACAACAGCAGGAGCAGCAAACCCTGAGTGGAATAGAGGCACAGGCAACGGTACGTCTTGTGCAGAAATCGTGACTTGGTACAATATCGTTATTCGTAGATCATATGGTGTAAAAGCTTAAGTGTGTGCTGTATGTGTATATTTCCTAGATGCCTTTTAGTTGCATCTCTTGGGCTTGTCTAGCGCGGCGTGTGAGGCCAACTTTTGGCAGTCGACTTGGCAGTTTCGACATTGTAGCATGCCCTGCTTCTCCCAATTCTTAGCTTTCATATTAGAAAAGTCCACAAGTCCGCAAAGTAGCTGATTCATAGCTTGAAAGCGGCTTTTGGGCAGTTCGTCTAGCCCTTTAAGGATTTCGATATATACTAAATTTTAATTAGATCTGATTATTGTGAGTTTTAATTCAATATTCGGTTTTAGCTTCAGTTGTGTATGTTAAAGATTTTACCACTTTCTCATCTTTTATTGAATTTAAAGATATGTCTTACTTGCAATTTTAATTACGTATAATTTGATCTTCACCACTAGGAAAGCTTCTGCTCATTAAATAATATTTACCAGGCACACATCAATTGATGAAAACGATAGGTTTTTTAATTTTGAAATTTATTGTTTTTAATCTATCTATTTGTATTTTCATTTTCTAAGTGCATAAGACGATAAACCGTCTAATCTAAAGCAGTCTGAGATTTTTGTTATTGCATATAAATCGCAGTGATCTGAATCCAGTTTTCCTCAACATTTCACTTAATGCTTAGCTTCTGTCACTCTCTGCCTAGTTTAAGGATGTAGCGCATTAGTTGATCGACTTAAACTCACCGCTTGAAATTCACAGAGCCCGGCCACGTTTTGGTGCACACGATCGCAACGCAGTCAGTCCCCTGTCAGCTTGCCCCCCCATGCTCCACACACTGACTGGCTGGGCAGGAGTGCGCATTGAAAATCTTTTATAGCACTGATCGGCATAGCTAGCTGCAGAGGAGACAGCGACTATGGCGACTGTAGCCTGGTGCTGTGTATGCTTACATATTTTGTTTGATGATGATTTTACAGCTTAAAACGAATTTTATGAGCATATGCCATTGTTTTTTGAGTTATTGTGAGAAATTTTGTGTGGCATGGCCCAAAGCGTGGCCCCCGCTAAAACCAAAACCAAAACCAAAAAAAATAAAAATAAAATGGCACAACAACAACAGCCACTGGACTCATGCAGATAGACAGATGAATGCGATGGTAGGGATAGGATGGAGAGGGGACGGTAGGGGTGGGGAGGGCTGGGTGCAACGCAATTGATACACATGTTCTGCTGCATGGCGACATCAAATTGCATTTGGAGCTTGTAAGCAACGCGCCAGGCTCGCCTGGCCAACTCTATCAGTGAGTGCTTAATGGCTGTCCACAACAACAACAACCAGTCAGTAACTTGGCTTGTCTACAGACTTAACAGTAAATTCGTGGAGCCAAAACCAAGAAGAAAAAAAGAAGAAAGAAGTTGTATTCAACAGCAGTCGCTCTGTTACTAAAACTTAAAGAGCTTGCTGGCGTTCAAGTCCGTCGTATCATCGTGCCCAGAGATACACTTTGTTAATTGAAAGCCATTAAAGGTAATTTTATGGAAGGCGTTAAGCCATGAAACGTGTAACATGACCATTGACATAGGGAACAACAGCCAGGCAGGAGTGGGGGCACAGGGGCATAGAGCCATAGGGGATGGGGGATTTTTGGATGTATGTAGTATCTCAGGAATAACAACTAGGACTAGGACAAACAACTGCGAGTGTCATGAAGTGAAGCGCAACTTGCCGCATTTGGTGGCATGTTCTGCGCTTTGGTACTTTGCTTTACAAGTGGTAACAATTTTTTGTTCCCTTTTTTTCGATTTGTTTTTTGTTTTTTTTTTTTTTTTTGGTTTTTGTTTGATCCAAGTGCCATGGAATTTGTTTTACTTGCTGCAAAGCATTTGAAGGTGCAACTAAGTCTCGAGTTTTTTTTTTTTTTTTTTTTTTTAAGGTTTAAGTTGACGATACATATATTTGTACTTATGTGCAGCTACAAATAGATGTGCATCATTTGCGGCGATTAATGTTATTATAAACACTCAGCTTTATATTTACTTACTACTGTTTTGTTAGGTATTAAAAACAATATTTAATAAATAGGTATTTCACTCTCTTAAGTTGCCCTTTTAAAATTGACTCTTTACATATATTCAAATATTTATTTCTTCCATTTATTAACCATAAAATTTTTGGCGTTTGCTTTTCAGGCTGCAAATCGTTCTTCAAGCGCTCCGTGCGACGCAACCTGACATATTCGTGTCGGGGCAGCAGAAACTGTCCCATAGATCAACATCATCGCAATCAATGCCAATATTGCCGTTTGAAAAAGTGCCTCAAGATGGGCATGCGACGCGAAGGTAAGTCTCTTGTCCCCACCGATTTCCCCGTTGCCACGAACTGTTAGCATATATCAAATACAATGAAATTCGAAATTTTTCGCACTGGGTGTGGGTCAATTAAAAGTCAAACAGTGAGGCAAATACATAAATAAATTAAATGCGCAGAGACCAAGGCGAAAAGAAAACGAAACAAGAAAGTAAAGCAAAAACAATGACAAAACGGAAGTAGCACACGACAATTGCAACAACCACAACAAATATAAGTCTATAGAGAAATAACATGTGATTTTTCTAGCGAATTTGGGTTACATTTGGTCCAATAAATGGGACAACTAAATGTCACACGCTAGGAATGTGCACACAACACAATTGACAAGTGTGGGCTGCTCTTTAGCTGCTCTACGGCTCTACTTGGCTACTGGTTCAGCTATTTGGACGGTGCCAAGTGGCCGGCAATGAAAAGAATGTGGCACCACCAAGCAAGTGCTACTTGATGATGATAAACTGATGCTTTTGTCTATCTTAAAAGGTCGCTTCTTAATAAGTTAATACTTACAAAAAAAGATATACAATTGCTAATAGTGCAAACCCTTTGCATAACACAATTAACAACTGAAACTTTTAGAACACAACTCGCAATACTCGCTGTCAGTCCCCCAAATAACTTAATAAGTAGGCATTATAAAATTTAATAGGCAGCTAATAAGATACCCATTCCTTGACGCAAACCATTAAAAATTAAGCTCTACGCATGACATTTAGCCAAGTTACTAAGCAACGCGAAAAACGAGCCCATAAAGCTACTTAACCAGACACTGAGCTAGAGTAAAAAATCTAAAGGGGTCGACTAGCACATACCCTTTACAATCAGGTATTGTATGTTATCTCATATAATTTTTGCAAAATCGTATAATACCCATATGCACATTTTATAGTTATAGGGTATACAAAAACAATTAGGCATTGAGTACAGCATATTGACCCTAAAGATCAAATGCAAACTTGTTCGCTCGTTGGTTATTAATTAAGAAAAAAAATTAATATTGTACAAGTATGAGTACTCGAATGCTCGTATAGTTGAAAATACTGAATACTTGATTAGTTGAGCATTAGGAATTAGCTCAATATTGTAATTTGTATATCAACACTTGTATTATTGTGGCGCTTGAAGCATGTTGCCGTTGCCAGCAATGATTTATTAAATGTAATTCGATTTAATCAAGCTTCATACACTGTCCGAAAATTATGGGTTAACCGCTGAAACCAGACAGCTAAATGCCATATTTGTTTCGGTGGGCAGGAAGTGACTTGCATGAAAACTATACCATGCATTGTAGTCGGACAGTGCAGGCACAGACTTAATCAAAGTCAGCATGCAACATGTTTCGCTTGCAAATATTTGGCATAGTTGGGTCAAATGTTTTGTCCACAAATTGGCAAACAACGACAAATTGACAGACGCCACTGTGAATCGATCAATGACTGACTTGACTTGACTGACTGACTGACTGACTGACTGACTAAATGAATGACTGGTTGGGTGACTGCTTGACTGGTTGGTTAGTTGCAGTTGTTGGCATTAACAATTAACGTCTGTCTGATCAACAGAATGAAAGAGGGACCGAGACAGCGACAGTGTGCAAGAGAGAGAGCGAGAAAGAGGTACTCGTCGAGCTGCCGGACAAAGCTGTTATTATTTGCACTAATATTGACAGGTTTTTTCGCAAAATGCTAATAACCCCCTACCCCAAACAACAACAACAACATGAACAGCAGCAGCAGCCGCAGCAGATGTTTGTTGTGTCTGCGATTTAGGTTAAGAACGATGCAATTAAAATGCAGCTATAGCCGCATTGTAATTAAATGTATCTAAATATTGATTTAAGCGACATAGCTCTAGAGTATTGCGCAAAAATATGAAAATATATACAAATTTGCCTAGGCCAAGTACAATATGTTGTTTTTAGCTAATGACACACTGTCAACCCAAGCTTTGAATCTTTATATATATTGTTTTTTTTTTTTTTTTGGTTACCTGTTTGGTCATTAAATATGTGATTACCTGTAGCTGCCACAGTGGCTGACAACTTGTCAACTTCATAAAACTCAAAAGAGTTCAACACCTTTGCCCCAGCGCCCCTCCCCATCGCATTTCCTAATGTACAAGTTCTGCGTAAAACTAGTTCACAATACCACAATACCTATATCAGCGCTGAGAAATCGTGAGAAAATGTCTTTTCTGCATAGAATTTTATTCCCTTTTTCTGCGTCATTTTTTGTTTTCATTTTTTTTTTTTTGCTTTTTGGGCGATACTTAGCATAAAAGTGGCACAGAGGTTATGCCTCGCAAGACCTGGTCAAGAAACTCTACGGGTTCGGTCGCTGAAAAAACCTGAAAATCCGTACAAAATCAAGGCACGGAGGTCGCTCTAATTAAACTGCAATGTCAATTGGACGGGGTGGGATGGATGGATGGATGGATAGATGGATGGATGGATGGATGGAGTGAGGTGGGTTGGGTCAGCGAACTGGACAACTGTTTTGCAGAAACTCGTTTTCACAACACAGCTAAGGGATGAGCCACCAAAAATTACTTTAGATTATAAAGGTATTTTGTTAGGAAAAAATGTTAGCTATAAAATTCAACTTGAAACGGGTCAGAAAACTATAAAATCAGTTGGTTGAAGGGGGTTGTTAGTAATACTCTGCAGATGGAAATATCATCAAAATTAAAAAATAAAACAAAAATAAAGATCATTTCAAATAATTCAGAAAATTCAATTGCATATAAACATAGATTGCAAGGCTCTTTAAATGAAGTATGGAAATAAAATTGGGCTACAGCCGATCAGCTGATATATATTCTAGCTATACATATACAAATTCAAGCAAAATACACTTTTTTACTTACTTAATTGAATTCAGAAGCTTCAATGGAAGCTTCAGCAACCATCTTATATAAGCTCACATATGCATTATAATTAACAATGGAAATTTTAACTCAACAATCACAACAACAACTTCTCAAGTACATTAAAAGCAAGGCAAATATTTAATCGTGCAAATGGCATGGCAAGTTGAAGGCTCTTTGAACGCTCGGCCGGAAATTGCATTTCCATATATATATATATATATATATATATGTTAACACCAATCCCTTTTGGGCGGAACTGAAGCGTGTGTTAATCCACTTGGCCACAATTAGCTGTGGGCCACTTGGGCACGCTCTCAAGTGAGCGGCTTGACATGTGCGACTCGATGACTTTGTATATCGTTTATCGATTGCATAAGTGCGAAACTTGGGACAGAAACACCAGAAAAACAAAAGCACATTCAAGGCTTGAGCACGTGCTGCTGGCCCACAGCTTCTCATTCATTAAGCAATCAGCAAATGTGGCAGAGTTATGCTTCTTCTACCTCTTTCACATCATCTTGTCGTTGTTGTTGTTGTAGTGGTTGTTGTTGACTGATGTTATCGGTTAAAGTTGTTGGAGTTGATCTGCGTTGCAGTTGCGAGTTAGTTTTTGTGGTCAGTCTGGCAAGTTTTGAGCTGTGGTCAGTGTCGAATATATTTTCCCAGGCGCATAAATAAGCCCATGCTCAGAAACTGGACAAAACACAAGCGCAATAGGAGAGGGACAGGGAGAGAGAAAGGGAGACAGAAAGAGAGAGAGAGAGGGAAAGCAAGAGGGAAGGAGAGCGAGAGCTAACCGGTTTGCAGCGTCTTCGGTTGCCTGCATAGATCAGTTTTGGAATATTTTTGTGTTGAGGATCAAGCGTTTGCCTGCGCAAATTACGCAAATGTATTGTATAAATAATTGTGTCGCCCCGTCGCTGGACATTGGTCAAGTCTGGGAGTTCCGGTTCTGCAACCCCCGGCAACTTAATTGCTTGGGTAAAGCAATAAACAAACACAGTTTTGTTGCTGTTGTTGTTGTTGTTGTCGTCCTATCGAAAACTCTTAGGATTTTTGTCTGCATTGTGCGAGTAGACCAAAAATGCTTTCGCTTTTCGCTTCAACAAAAGACGTTACTTTTGCCTGTCCAACTGTATGTGTGTGTGTGTGTGTGTGTGTGTGTGTGTGTGTTGTGTCTAAAACAATGGCTGAGACCAACACTTGGTCTGATCAGTAATCGTGTTTAGCTTTATTTGCTTTTTAGTGCCTTTGGCAATGTTTTACGATTTTGTTGTTTCGATTATTTGGAATTCAGCCTGTTACTCTGACTCTCGAGTGGGGTTAGGTGTGGTGCATATGACTCGGTCTAGGTGTGTACCTCTCATATTTGAGGTGTAAAAACCTTTGCTAACCCACATTTGATATCAGCTCAAGTACCCAACGCGCCATGTACTCCATTGTACTCAAAACAAAAAAAAATATTTGTATCAAATGCGTTTTACGGCCGAGCCGAGCCGAGCCAAGCCTTTTGCAGACTTGCAGACTATGCAGGTGTATGTCTAAAGTATTACTAATTTGAGGGAATTGCTAGTCAAAGTTCAAAGACAAGGAATGCACTTTGAATTCAGAGAGAGCCTTTGAGCACACCCAAAGCGCAGCTTTTGTGTTCGTTTGTACTCAGCCATAAGTAATCTCTCACTCTCTATCTCTCTTTCTCTTTCATAACCTGTCTCTCTTTGTGCTGACAGGATTCGCTGGGGCGCAGCCTTTATGTAAGTCTAAATATCAACTCAGCACATACAAGGATTTAGTTCTTTAGCTATTTGGTGCGCTCTTCGTTTGCTGATTAAAACTTGCAACAAATGTATTTTCTTATGCTTCTTCAAGACTTGTATTATTAAATCATTTCAAGGCTGATGTCTTTGAATCAATTGTGAATTCAATTTGAAAGTATTCAGCTGTCGGCTATCTTCAATACTATGCTTAAAAAACTTAAACTTTCAAGTGTATTCTGCGTTTCAATTTAACTTCTTGTCAATCAATTCTAAGTGCATAATTTTATTTGAAATGAAATGCAGTTTTTTAAGCATAAGTATAAATTGTATACACTTTGTTTAATTTAGCAAATCCAAAATTGGTGCTGTGTAGTTTGAGCAGCTGTAGCTGTAGAAGATTTCTCATTTAATTCTCGGACTGTGCGCAAAAGATACACACACACACACACACACACAATGGCACACACGTGCTTGTATCTGGTATCTTGAAGATGCGTTGAAAGTATTTAGTTGAATTTGCATATATAAGCAGTTGTGGCAACAACAGGGGTTGCCAGTGCTCACGAGATTGAAACTGGACGACAAAAAAAAAGTACAGAAATGAAAAAAGGGGTTTAGGGGTAGCCCAGGTCCAGGTCGAAAGCAGAAAAGTATCTTATGACGTTGTCGTACTCGCTGCGAACAAAAGAGGAGCGAATGGAGAAGAGTGCGTTCAGATTTGAGGTGCCTGATAGGCATTGTGCGTTGTGGCAGCTTTGCCAACAAACGTTGAATGGGGCAACATTGTGCGGCGTGTGATGTCGCGGTCAAAATAAGGCGCACAAAAGAGCACACATATTGAATTACTCTAGCTACAGATGCAGATGCAGCTACAGATTCAAATACTAATCTCATGCGGCTCATCGAAACAATAAATATATTTAAACTTAAGCAAAAAGAACAAAATAAAAATAATTCAAAATATATACTAACTCTGTCTCTCTCTCTCTCTCTTTCTCTCTCTCTCGTTGCAGCTGTTCAACGAGGCCGCGTGCCGCCCACACAACCGGGTCTGTCTGGAATACATGGCCAATATCAGTTGGCCAACGGCGATCCGATGGGCGTGGCAGGCTTCAATGGCCACTCGTACCTCAGTTCCTACATCTCGCTGCTGCTGCGCGCCGAACCATATCCCACATCCCGCTACGGCCAGTGTCTGCAGCCAAATAACATTATGGGCATTGACAACATCTGCGAGCTGGCCGCCCGTCTCCTCTTCTCTGCCGTCGAATGGGCCAAGAATATACCCTTCTTTCCGGAGCTGCAAGTGACCGATCAGGTGGCGCTGTTGCGACTCGTCTGGTCTGAGCTCTTTGTGCTGAATGCCAGTCAATGTTCGATGCCACTGCATGTGGCGCCGCTGCTGGCGGCCGCTGGACTGCATGCCTCCCCAATGGCAGCGGACCGTGTGGTGGCATTCATGGATCACATACGCATCTTCCAGGAGCAGGTGGAGAAGCTGAAGGCGCTGCATGTTGATTCTGCCGAGTACTCCTGCCTCAAGGCAATTGTGCTGTTTACCACCGGTAAGTTGCTGGACATCCTCTACAAGGATGTGCCCGCACTGCTAACCAAAGTTTCAGCGCTTCTCGGCAAGCGTGTGGCATCTGGCGCGGAGTCTGCAGGTTTGCCGGCTAACTGCAGCAACGATGATGTGCTTGCTGTGGTGCGTGATCATCTCGATGAGCTGAATCGCCATGAGTTTGAGTCACAGCTGCAGCAGGCGCCACTGCATTTGGCCACCTTCATGAAGAGCGTGGCGGGCGTTGAGGCTGCAGTGCAGCAGGCGGAGCAACAACAACAACAGCAGCAACAACAGCATCAGCAGTTGGAGTCTAAGCCAATTGCTGGTGTTGCTGCCACTGTGCCCGTTGTGCCCTCCGCCAGCAGCGCTTTCAGCAGCTGCGCCAAGTCCAACACTGTTGAGGTCGATCTGCTTGCAGCACTCTATGCCAGCTCCAATGGCAATGAGAGCAGCAGCAGTCACAATAATAGCAGTGGCTTGGGTGCCTCGCTGCCCACACAATCCCAAAGCGGTTCGTCCTCTATAAATTCCACCGCGTCACCGCTGAGCACGGTGGCCGCAACAACCGCCGCCATCGCCACGTTGAGCACAACAACAACTGCGACAGCAACGGGCAGCTCTCAGCTGGCTGGAGCATATCAGACGCCAGCCATGTTCTATCAGACGCCGCCTCGCAGCGCCTACGGCGCGGCCTTTGATATGTTCCATCACAGCACACCGTTTGGTGTCAGTCATGCGGCGGCAGCGGCTGCAGCGGCTGCCCACTCAGCTAGTAGCGCCGGTAGCTTCGGTAGTCCCAGCTATAGATACTCGCCGTACAGCCTGGCGGGCAGTAGATGGCAATTGTAGCGCCCCCATTAAATCGAGTTAGTCAGTTAGTCTAGTTAGCCGTATCTGTATCATCAACTATGTATCTATGAAGTACTTAATTATGTATCTATTGTAAAGTTAAATTTTAGTGCCTATTGCTTATGTATTTATTGCCTTACACTAAGTCTTATTTATTTAAGTCGTAATTTAGCTTAGAAACTGTTCCAAAAAATATGACCAAAAAGATCGAAAGAGAGAAGCGAAGAGAGAAAGAGACAAAGAGAGGCTTCGAGAAGAAGAAGAAGACTTAAGAATATACACTGTTGTTGCTGTTAAACAAAAAATTAATCCTAACTTGTGTTTTTACTTATCCCATTTGTTACTAATTTTATAAGCTTGTTGACTAATTTTAAGCAACTGTTTTTAAAAGTTATTGTTTTTATTTTCTATTTATTAATTTTGTTTTTATTTTGCTTACTACTAACAACTATTTATGTTTGGTTACTAATTTTGTTTGTTTACTAAATATATCAATGTTGAGAATTTAAAATTCCACGTTGGAAAAGATACTAATAGTTTTTAGTATTCCAGAGTTGAAAAATAGTGCAAAAAATATTATATTTTAATTAACTAAAAATTATTGATTTGATATTTAAAAAAAAATACATCTTCTACATTTTTTAGAATTTCTCTGTTTTTGTATTTTCGAAGTAATCTGAGAAAATTAAAAACATTGAAATTGTTTTTATTATTTTTTAATTATATTTTTGTATATTTATTTATGATTAGCTTGTTTTAAATTCACTGAAAGAAATGAAATTCATAGTAATTTAAAATGATCTGATCAACAATTTTGTAATTCTACAGAATTTTGCATCAAAATAAAATCAAAAAACATATTTGATTGCTTGAAACCTTAAAATGATGAATATTGAGACTCCTTAACAACTTACTGATTGAGGTCTCTAGCAATATGGAAAATGCCTATGAATGGGATATTATAAAAATAGATATAATGTCCAATCCATATGCATTTTTGTTGCAACCTAGTAGAAAGTTATGAATGCATCTGTTTTCAAGAGGCAAATACATTCATAACTTTCTCAACTGCACTTAATTTATTTTTTACTAATTGTTAATTTTTATTTTTAAAACAAAGCAAAAAGAAAGACACACACACATACACCTAAACAAAAGCAGCTTCATACAACATTTTGGCACACATTCTGGACATTCTTGGGAACAACTTGGTCGCACACACACACACACAAACAAAGACACGTCTAACACATATCTAACACACATTTTATAAATATCATTTGGACAAATTCATAAATATTCAACTATAAAAACTGAAATGGCACATGGCTTGCTTTAAATGCTCGTTTATTTTATTTAATCTTTATTTCTTACTTATTTTATGTTTAATTTCATGCCTGAAATAAAAAAAAAACCGATATTTGTATGCAAAATAATATTGTTTACAAAATTAAAAATACTTTATTTATTATTTAAATTTACTGCATTTAATAACACAACAAAAAATAAGGTTTATTAGCATATAAATAAGATACTTTTAGTGATCAGTACATAAATATATCACAAAAATGCTATAATAAATGTCATCAGTGGAATTTCATTGGCAGTACATAAAAAAGGCTCATTGAAGTTCACCAGATTTTTAGTGAGCATCTTATGTTTAATTCAAATATTTTTCTCTGTGTGTAGTTTTAGGCTCTTGATACTTAACAAACAAATATTTCACAGCTATTGCTTTGTCTGCACACGCCGTTTATCTGCCCATTGTCCATTTACAGTGGCCAAAAAATGCAGCGAAGCGTTCAACTGTCTATATATCCCCCCCTCGCCCCTTCCATGTGTGTTGCTTAGTCCGTTCGGTTGTCAAACCGTTGCCTGGTCATGTCAAGCAGCTGTGCCAAGCGCAAGACGCCGCTGTCCTCGATTTGCGACACTGACTATCCCTCCCCTTCCACCCTGGACATCCAGCACCCCCCCTTAGGAGCTGGCGACGTTTATTGACGTCGAGATACCACATTATGAACATTAATACAACACTCGTTTATGTCGCTTACTTACAAGTCGCAAGCCGCAACGGTTGCTCTCTGGCCAACTCACAGCCCCAAGTCCAGCCTCAGCCTTAGCCGCAGCAATGAAAATAATTTTCCAATTTCCAAAACGCTGTGTGTGTCGATAGCTGCGCGGCGGATACGTTTCGGGTTTGGGTTTGGGTTTGGGCTTTTGGGCTGGGGTTTTTAGGTCTATTGTGAGGGGGCGTCGCGAGTTCGTGTTGCCTGTGCTTCGACTGCGACTCTCGACTCTCGACTCTCGACTCTTGCGCAGCGCAATTGCATTTGAATTGGCTGCATGAGTCCATAAACTGCAGCCGATCAATCGCAATAGCGTCTCTCAGTTAGCTAGCCCCTCTTGCACATCGCCCCCTTGTGATAGACACGATCGCGGTTGTAAAATACCGGGTATAGACTTAGTAGATCTTCTGCCTGCTGCCTCGAAACCCAGGCGGCGGCACGTTGACGACATGTCTGCAATGCCGCTGTGGTGCATCTTCCAATCTGGTTGTGGCCTCGTCTGAGTTAGCCTCCGCGTCTGCGTCTGCGTTTGCGTCTCTGTCTCCCCTCGTGGACTCCACTCCACTACTGCCTGATTGCTGTCGTTTGTTGCAGTTGTTAAGAGTTGTAGCTTTCATGTCTTGGCCACACTTTTTGACCAACATTTTGTGTTGGTTTTTGCTTTGGCTTTGGCATCGATGCTACCTCTACTTTGCCTCTGACTCCCAGTCAACCTTTGTGTGTTGGCTGTTGGTTGAGTCTAGTTTTTACTGATGCCCAAATCGTTTTGTGGGTGCTCATTGATCGCCTGCGCTACTTTCGGAAAATTGCCACAGACGTGCCTTTGTGCCTTGTAATTAACAGTTTCGAACAGACCTCTTTGATTAGAATCATTTCTGGGCGCGTTTTCTTTTCTTCCTCACCCCCCTCAATGATATAATACGATATGATGCTGGCAACTCTTAAATGTTTAATCATTTAAACTCTGACACAAGATTCAACCAATCACAATTGCATGAAATATGTGCGGCAAAAGCAAGGAAACCTTATCTTCAATATTAAATTAAATAAATTGCAAATACACGCAATTAAATAATATGTATATCTATTTGAATCTATCTATCTATTACAAATAATTATATTTAATCAACTTCGATATGACCATTTTAATTAGTCAATATCTATTTGATTTCAAACTATTTATTTCTTATCCTAATATAAATTAAAATATATATATTTCATTGTGATGAAACAAAGTTATGTATTAAAGCCCCACATAAAATAGTATAAACATTTTTCAGACATATTTCTACTTTACTTTTGACCTATTTACATGGTCCATACATTTCCTTCCCCTAACTGAGTCAGTCCGTTGTCACCCAGCAAATACCTGTAGTTTTTGTGTTGAATTTCTGGAACAAGTCTTAAAAATGCCGCTCGATTATAAGTTCATAGTTGACCTCACATGACCCCCACCCGAAGGCCTGAACAATATCTGCAGGCATTTTTACTAATGCTTATTAAAACTAAATAAAGTTATAACTGTTTGCCAGGGCAGACCACGAAGCAGTCGCCGTCAACAGCAACGTACTAGTTGCTGCCCATAAAAACTATATAATAAAATATAATGCAGCAATTCATAATTTTTGGTTAAACAGCTTAACCTTTACTATGGTCAGAGTCAGCTTAGTTGTGGCGAATATGGGGGCGGGGGCGGAGCCTGTGCCACGTTCCTGTGTGACCAAAAAAATGTGCTCCTTTTTCGATATGCATGTTGTTGTAGTTGATGTTTTTGTTGTTATTGGCAGCACAATTCGGTTACGTAGTTACATCAACTACTTTACGGTCATTATGCATTTAAAACACGCGGTCACGATCTCTGCGCTGAGTTAGTAACTGCGCAAAAGGAGCCAGCCAGAGATCCAAAAACAACAACAGCAAACCAAAATCGAAGTCAGCCCGAAACAGTTAAGAAGCCCAAAAAAAAAACCAAAAAAAAAACAAAATCAAAGCCAAGTTAAAGCCATAGTTATATAGCCAGTCGCAAACGCCCGAGAAAGCTGCAGTGCTCTACTCGCAGCTCACAGCTCGGGGCTCCAAGCTGCATTTCTTTTGGCCAAATCCACAAACTGGAATTTCTTTCACTTGGTCGTCGTCGACGTCTTCTGCATTTCAATGAAAATAAAATTTTTACTTGGCTTATTGATTCGAATTGTGGCACAATTTTTCTTGCTTTTTCCTCTTCCCATGTCCTCTCAACTCGTTTTATTTTGTTTTCTGAACATGGGCCATGGGCACTGGAAGTTGGGACTCGGGCCAAGTTGCTAAGGATCATCAAAGCTATTGGCCAAAGTCAATTGACAATTATGACCATGGCCAAGTGAAGTGATTCGCTCAGCTTTTCATTTTAACTGACCAAATCTAATTTGTATCTTTCTGTGGGCTTCACGATTATTGCCGGATTGTTGTTGTTATTGGTTGCTTATGAAATGAAATGGTTAATAATGGTTAATTGAATTTCTGTTGCCTTTGGCGACAAATCATTTATCTTGATTTACGCGCATTGTGTGGGGGCGGCTCTTTCAAACTTCGATGGAAACGTTGAGTTTTGTGATTGCCGTTTTATTTTTATGGTTTGTTTATTTTGTTGGCCACCTGAACTTGTAGCATGAAATAAACTAAGTGTCAGCATTTGGCCATAAGGTATCAAGAGGTGTGGAGAGATTTATAAATATAGTTTCCTTGACCAAGTGATAACCATTCATTTTTTCTTATTTATATATGGCGAAGCTTTCACTTGAAAATCAGCTGATTAACTGCAATTTAATATATTCGCTTTTAAAACTGTATTCAATATTTACTTTTATTTATTCAGTTTTCCGGCATATTTAAGATTGACAATTCACTTAGCAATATTCATTCTTTACTTTTATTTATTCAGTTGTTCGGCATATTTAAGATTGACAATTCACTTAGCAATTGACGGCAAGTTTGCACAAATAATGTAAATATATCACGGGAATTTTTGCATGGGTTTTTTGTGCACTTTACTCATAAATTGTTTACATAATTTATCTTTAACTTTAACTTGTAAGCAATTCAATTAAATTTTAAATCTAAATCTAAATTATGTAGTTTTGAATACACAATCAAATATTATGCGTACATCATTTGTTATCGTTTAGATTTTAATTAATAGTTAGAAATAAGTTACGTACATATATATTTATATCGTGAAAAGAAAATCAAATAAGTTATAGCGGAAATTCTAGTTAGTAAATGGTTATTAAAACACCTAAAAATGTTCATATAAAATGCAGTCTTTACTCGAACAGAACGATATATTTATACTATATTTAAATATACAGAAGTTTCACAAGGAAAAAAAAAACAATATTTGAAAATATGATATTTTTTGGATTGAACAATTTTTGCTTTGCGTTGACTTATGGCCTTAATGAGCTGCTTATACAAATCAGAGTGCGTTAGCTGTAAGTTGCTTTGAAAGGCGGGTTAACTCTAATGAACCTTTTGGCAATTCATTTTGCATCATATTCCAGTGAATTGGCTTACAATTGACAGTTGGCCACTTGCGTGCAGCTAAAGACAGCTAAGCCAATAGAGCTGCAGTCCGAAGGCATAATGAAATTCAAGAGCTTAGCGTAAAATACTGAAATACGAGACATTAAAACGACACATTACGTCCCAATGCTGGCATTTGGCAATGCAATCAAATTCGCGTTCACTCCGCAATCAGATACGTTGACTACGCGAACTCGGACTGCTATTCTGTCTTGGAGTTGGACACCCAACGATGCCATCAGATTGGCCACAAAGCCGCCAAAATGGTCAATTCATTAGGCAGTCAAGCAGCTGCAAAATGTTATAAATGCCACTTGTAAATTTTGCGTAATGTGCAAAAGATACATTTTTTTTTTTTGCAAGATACTTTTTGCGCTTTTGGCACTGAAAGCGTAACGTCTTTTTGCTCGCCTCGTGTACTGGGTAATTAAGTAAATAGAAACCAAAAATAATTCTCAAATTATATGGCATTTCGGCACGGCATTCTTGACAGCTATTGAAAATGCGCTAAAGCCATGCAAATTTACAAGTACTGATGTCTAATTTGAATTTCAAATAGGCGAGCCCCAGCAAATATGACCAGTACACACGGCAAATATATATTTGAATATACATATACGCATAAATATATATGTATATGCAAATGCATAAGTCGTGTATACACAATTTGTTGCTGTTTTACAACATTTACACACACTTGAAAAATATTGATAAGCTAACTTTTGTGGCTGGCAATTAACACTTGACGGCACACGCTGCGGATGCGCAATGTTTTCGAATTTAACGACTGGTCAATAGCATAAGGCATACACTCGGCGAAAAAAATGCTTTCGAAACATGAAAATTGATTTTCATAAATAGGTAAATGCATTTGCCATTACTCGATAATCACATATATATATTATTTGTTATTTATATTTATATTCTGAAAAGTTTTTGAGAAATCTTCCTTGTAATTTAAATAGGATAATTGTCATAGTGACTAAAGCGAATTTTTAGAAGAACTTTCTGATATGTTCGATGAACTGCATTTGGTGGCGAAATAAAACCAGGCAAATTTTTTCTGAGTGTAATAGCCCACTGCTCCCACCCTCGGCTTATAGCTTTTGTGTTCGAGGGCGTTGCCGCTTAGTTTAATTTTCGGAAATTTAATTAAACGGCCTCTTGTCTTAGCGCTGTCTGTTCATAAGTCCGAGTCTGTAGCTACAATTGGGCATAAATCATGCGAGTGACGCAATTCCGCAGCAATTTCATCATGTGCCATTTTCTATATATTGTTGTTGTTACTGTTGTGTGTGGGCGTGGCTGCTATTTATGTTGAGTTACATTTGACGTGAGCGCTGGAAGCCCATTCGCTGGATACGTATCTCTAGCGTCAAGTAAATGTATGTCAGCGTCAGGTGAACTGCAAACTACATGAAACCCATTTGCATCCGGATTTTCAGTTTGATCATTGCATTAAATATTGTATTTGCTTGGAATATTTATAGATGCCTGTGGTCTGTCAGATGTGCAACACATTGAAACCCTGCAAGAGAAGTCCCAGTGCGCCCTGGAAGAATATTGTCGAACACAGTATCCCAATCAGCCCACGAGATTTGGCAAACTGCTGCTGAGATTGCCATCCTTGCGTACCGTTTCCTCACAAGTAAGTTAAATCTTTTATAGAACTGAAGCAACTCTTTAGATTTTCAAATTTGGCTTCTGACTTTATTTGCCAAATTTATACCACATGCTGCCATTTGGAAAAATAATTCTTAATTTCAAGCGAGATATTCTTAACATCCTGACATTCCTGACTTATAATCCATTTTAAATAATTCTTTTGTTAATTGTTTCCATCAACTATTCTTTTTTCTAATCGCCAGGTCATTGAGCAATTGTTTTTTGTGCGTCTAGTCGGAAAAACGCCCATCGAAACGCTGATACGCGACATGTTGCTGAGCGGCAACAGTTTCTCTTGGCCCTATCTGCCTTCGATGTGACACACAATGTGGCGCCAATTGACAACAACTTGATCATCAGCCGCAGCTGTGGCGGCCGCTGTGGCAGCCAATCATAGCAACACTACGCTCAACATCAATCCCTGCAACAACATCACTAGCAACAGCAACGTCGGCGGCGGTGGGGGCATTGCTGTTGCTGGCAATCACAGCCACGATCACAGCAATGTTGCTGCCATGCATGCAACATACGGCGTCGGTGGTGGAAGCAACAACTGCGGCAACAGTCTCAACAGCGTTTGCAATCAGCAGCAATTCAGTAACTACAGCAACATCAGCTGCAGCAGCAGCAACAACAATAACATGAACGCCAACGGTTACCTTGGCGCCGGCTGCAGCAGCAACGGCAGCAGCAATGATTATATGGCCAATGCGACGGCAGCTGCATATGTGACACCAGCAACAGCAGCAGCAGCAATGGCAACAACAACAACAATGCCAGCGGCAGTGAACACAACGACAATGCTGTCTAATTACTGCGATGCAGCGACTATGATGATGGCCGCTGCCGCTGTCAATGCAAATCAGTGCCTGCAACAACACCACCAACGTCTGCTGCTGGCCAGCAGCAACAGCAGCAGCAACAACAGCAGCATCAGCAGCAGCAACCACGAGCAACTGGCCACGGCAGCGAACATGGCCTCCGCCTCCTCGTCTTCGGCGGGGTCGCTGTCATCGACATCGTCCACGCCGACAGCAACGACAACCCAGCAGCAACAGCAACAGCAGCAACTGTCACTGCAGCAACAGTCGCTGCCATCGCCGCCAAATTTAATCGATATCAGTGAAGTTCCTCTCATTGTGGATGTCAAGTAGTGTAATTATTTATGCATATTGAAAAACAAACAAAGAAAACAAAAAAAAAAAGTCTAATGAAAAATGTAAAAACAACAAAAAAAAAACCGAATCGTGTAGCTTAATTGTTTTAAAATCTCCTTTAGTTGTTGTAACTTGTACATAAACAAATTTCAACTTTCTCCCAAGGCGCCCACAACTGACAACCAAATGCGGTTTTGTATCTTGTAGATAGCAAGCTGCTCCCTGGTTGCAAGTTGACCGTATATCTGGAAAAACTTTGAAGCGTTCAACGTTCAACGTTTTTGGGCGTCAATCATTTCTACTATATGTCTGTATAATATTTAAAGGCACTGAGTTCTACTTAATTTTTAAAGCAAAAACTAAAGTTAAAATTCTGATATATCCCTTCACAAAATAATGAAAAGAAAATCCATAAAAAGACAATGTAAATCTATGTTAGGCAAAATATTTATGTATTTCTTGTAGCATATACATATATAGATACTAGACAGCCAACTACTATATAGTTCTATGCGATCTATAGTGTACTTTACTCTAATTTCCCAGTGGTTTGCAGAATTATACCAAAAATATATTTTTACTTTATGTGTGGCAATTATATTTTGTGTGTGCTTTATACATTTTTTACTTTATTTTACTTTAAGTAAAATGTAAAAAAAAAATTAACATCAAAAGAAATTAAGAAAATCAAATTCTCAACTGCTCCAAACCATATCTCAAAGATGTGGTCAATTTAACAAAATACATATATTTTATTTAAATAATTTTGTAATGCAAAATTTAGCAAATTTATTATTTTTTATACAAATATTAATAAAGCGGGCAAAACCAATTCAGTGCAAGTTTTCAGTTTTTAAACGATCTTTTAGACTAAGCATTATTTTATTTATATGTATAAATATAAACGTTTTATATATTTTATAATAATAAAAATTGCGTTTTTAAAGAACCTTTTCATTGTTTTTTTTATTCATCCTTTTCGAATAAATTATATTATTTTTTTTTTAATACATATATTTTTTACTCCCAAACGGGATTGAAGGCAGTCCATTCGTATAACTCCATCATAAATATATCATAGCTGTCTACGTCAAGATTTTTTCAATTTATGATTTCTGGTCTTATTATTATTAATAATTATCTTTTAATTGCTGCCAAAATTTGTATAGAAAATTGTGTTAAACACTTTTTAAAAATATAACAAATCACCATTTAATAGCCGAAATAATATTTTCGTGACTTTCAAGCAGTGTCAAGTATTCGCGCGTTCCTGATAAGAAATCATTGTATAAATATGATTAAACTACACAGTAATTAAATAAATACAGTTACTTATTGAAAAAAAAATCGCGTGATCGCGTGTAAATACATTTTCGAGGTGGGAAATTTGTAAAATAATTGATAATAAATGTCAACCGAATGGTAAATAAATTAAAATAAAGAAAAAACGTCGAGCTGGGCAAGCGCATCTATAGTATAGATCAAGTACATATATATGTTAACCTTATCACAGTTGATAGTCGCTATAAAGAGAGAGAGAGAGAGAGAGAGAGAGAGAGTGTATATACTATGTATGTATGTGTGTGCGAAAAATATTGACTTCATAAAAAACAAGAAAAAAAAAGAATCAGCAAAACAATAATTCTCCGCATTATACAAAAACGTTGATTGCTGTAATCAAAATATATATATTTAAGTATTAATTAGTATACAAGAAGATAAAAGAAAAAATGTTTGTTTTTGATAATTTCGATATGGAAATCAAGTGTCAGTTAAATTAATTTTATTTAATAAATACAAAAAATATCTAAGCATGAAACATTTTTCCAATTTTCAATTGACCATATTTCATGGCAATTCTCTCCCCCACAACATTATAATTTGGATATGTGCTGAAAAATGAATGCCCAAGTCATGCTGCAGTTAAGGTGTGCGACCTCTATACAAATGACCCACGGCATGGGCCGGCATGGGCAATTACCCCGAACTGCTCCAAAATTGCCAATAATGAGACATGCAGCTCGCGCGCTTAGCCTCTGTAATGGATTGCCATGGATTGGTATCAATTGCAGGTCAATTCCTCAACGCCACGAAATTTCACGCGCCGACAAGATAATCGTCGCACATAATGCCGGGATTCCCTAGTTTGCTTCAAGCACCAAGACCATGCCCCAGTCAAAGGATCGTGCAACGCAGACAGCGTGTTGCCAGCCAATGAACAAATTACGGTTGTCTTGTGGGCCGTCGCTGCCGTTGCAGTTTCCGTTGATGTTGCTGTTGCTGTTGCTGTTGCCGTTGCCGTTGCGGATACCGAATGACAAATTAGATATCGAAAACAACAATTTGATCGACAGGCGATCGCCACTGAAACGAGCCGAAAAGTACAGCAAAACAAGAAAGAACAGCTAAATTGAGCACACCGAAAAAACCATGCCCTTGCCAAACTGTCCGCAACTAAATTAAAATTCCAACTTGCAAACTTCATGATTTTCGCCGGGATGTCCTAGATTACAACATGATATATACATTGAATGCGGCCGACGGATATAGTTAAAGTTAGCCGGACACTGACCAAGAAAATCTTTGCCTTGTGGGATGAGCAAAGAGTTGTCCTCAAGAGCGATACAAATTTTATGAAAAAATTACAATACCTATTGCAAGGGTATCCAAAATAAAGATTGCTGTTCGGTTCGAACCGTGAGTCGAAATTGCCAGCGAAAATAAGGAAGGCATTTTCTGCGGTTGGGGCAAGCGTATCCAAAGGAGTTGATGAAGGTGTTGATTTGATTACTTTTATGTAAGCGAGCAACCCGAGTCAGCGCTAGAGCCCACAACAGATCTGGCTGCAGTTGAACATATTTTTTCCAAATCGTGATCGGGCCAATTTTGGATGGATCGATTTCGAGTTGCAGTTGTCTTCAATTGTGCCGACTTACTCACTGTGGGCACAAAGGGGAGAGGCATTCTCTGTGCATGCCCCGCGGCCAATATCTAAATGTGAAAAATGATTTGACTTTAATGGCCGCCACTGAGTGATCATCTCTGATCATCTCATCATCTGATGATGATCAGCGAAGCCTTGGACCCGCTGCCTTACCCCTCTAGGTGTTAAGATTTTGTGACCAATTGGCCGGATAATCCACAGCGTTGCCACCTTCCATCAGATCAGGCTGAAGTTAACGGCTGCAACTGCTCAACTATTTTGCATTCCACGCGATCCCCTCTCTTCGACATAAAACTGGAGTCTGACTAGGCAAACGATTGATTCGCTCTGCGGTTGGGAAACGTGGGAATTTGGCTTGAAGAATCGAAGGTGTGTCCGCACACTACTTTTTGTACAGCAAATTATCATCTTTACGAGCTGTAAATATGTTATGGAAAATTAGTCGAATTACGTGTATAGACTAGAGTTGACCACGACTGATGCAATAATGTGCAAATAATATATATGGGGCACATTATCTGTAAAAAAAAAAAACTATTCACTTTGTGGTGTTAACTTGCCGCAACTAATTTAGTTTATGTTGGACTTAACAAGATTAAATGTTACGAAACTTTGCAAATTACTTAAATATTAAATTTCATTATGGTTATTAAGGTAAGTGGAAATTATTACAATATTTAATTTAATTTTTATTGCATTTTCCTTACAAATTAAATAATGAAATATAATTTAAATTAAACAAAAAATAATAGGATCAGGAAGTGCATCATATAAGGAAAAATTTCGAACTTTTAACATTTATTATAATTGATTATATTTTTTTCTTGTCAAAATATTTTATCATCTTCATTAATTTCTCTTTATTTATTTGTACAGTTTGCAAGCCATTTGTATATTTGCAAAATTCTCCTGAAATCTTTATCAAATTAAATACGTGCAAAAATAGAAACAAAAAAGCTGCAATACAACAGTAAGAAGATATATGCTAAGCCTAAGCATAACTACTGTGTGGCACTTGGAACACCATGCCACATTGTTCAATGCAAACTCACACACAGAGAGAGTGACTCGCACAAAGCCGTCACAAAGACCCAAAGATATTAGTGGGCATTTTTCAATCCTTTGACGATGGTCAAAATAAAATATTATTTCGCGCGTTAATACGCAAAAATAAGCGACTGGTTGGGTGGCTGTTGCGGCTAGGCGGGTGGGCACCCATGAACTGGTATCCCAACCCCCTGGCCCCTAACCCCGCTGAGGTGTTGTTTGGCTGAGAAGTTATGATGCGGAGCTGTGCGTTGCTTGCCGGCTCTGGCAATTGCGACGTGAATTTGTGACTCGTTAAGAGCGCGTGGCAATGCTCGGGGGCAAGGATAGGGGCCAGCACTGTGCACTGTGGTGGAAAATGAAACTTTTCTGCCAGAAATTAATAAGTTAAAAAATAAAGTGAAGGTCTTTGTGTAAGGAGTAAAAATAATGTTCCTAATATAAACCAATCAACTGATTTTAAAATAATATATGTTATCTGATTATCTCAATAGATCTGTTTTTAAGTAAATACCTCAATAATTAATTTAAAATGCTTTAATACATTTGATTTACATTTATTATTAATTTAAGTAGCCTTAGTACATTTTTTGTCGGAAATAGTGTCATTTTTGCCCATAGTGATGTGTTGCCTTTGCTTCAGCCAGGTCTACCAACACCATGGGTGGGCCACACGCTCCTCGGCTGGGCAAGATGCAAAATGCTTTTGACAATTTGTACTTGTTGCAGCGCGTTATAAATTATCAAATAGAAAATAGCATTCAATTTGATTTTCTGGCATGCGGTGTGAAATATGTGTAATTGGAAAACAAATTCCCATTGCCTAATTTATGACTTATGAAAATTGCAAGTTATTTATTATGACCCCACCACACTGCCACCCTTTCACTTCTGGGCTTGGGCCTGTTCGCTGTGCTAATTAAATTAGGAAATTCGTCTGGGACCAAAAGGCAAACATCGTGACAGAAATATGTACCACATAACCCCCATCCCCCTCCTTAATCAG